TACTTACCTGGAAATACTCATAAAAATTTTAATCCGAAACCCGCGTAAGTATAGCTAACAGACTTTATGTGTTTATTACTGACTACGGTGTGCATAAAAATGGTTGATAGAAAAAGATGTTGAATAATATAAACAAATTTTTTCCGATGTTATGGCTTTGGTGAATTTTATCCAAGTAGCCATTCTCAGTTTGGTTTGAATTTTATAAAATGTGTGATCTGTGCAGGAGTTACTACTGTTTCTCAGCGCCACCTTGTGAGCAGCACTGTTAATTAGAACTCGACAGTGAATGGCCGATTGGGGAATCCTTTACATTACAATTTATTTTTAATGAATTAGAACGAAATCAGTAACCGACAAGATTTGAACCTGGGATCCATGGATCCGAAAGTCCTGATTCCTCCCTATGAATATGAACCATAAATAAATTATAATCTACAAAAAATATATTTTATTTCAATACACAGACAAAATAATAAACAAACAATGAAATAAAATTAAAAATATATTTTTTCAAAAAATTCTTTGGTTGGCCTAATATAGCACCAAAATTTCAAAGTTTTCATCTGTGTTTCTTTGAGGTGTGTCGATTATACTAGCAAACGAAAATAATAATTGTTGGAGTGGACCAGGCGAAGGAAGATAAGTGTTAAATTTTATTTTTTTTAATGTTCGTTATCCATTGATAATTTGTAGATTATTACGTTTATATTCTAAATATTATGATCGGTCTTCAGTCTCAGTCTCTTTTAGTTTCTACTTCGCGACAACTCAGAGCATGAGTCAGCCATTAGCGCATGCGTAGTTTGGTCTCTAAAAGGATCCGAGACTAATATTGGTAATTCGAATAGGAATCCTTTGGCGAATCAGGATCACGGATCTTTTTTTCATAAGTATTCGAATACCGCTCTCGAATCCTCAAAACCGATTTGAATCCTCCCCAGCTCTGCCCCCACTAGTAGTCGGCCACTTGAGTCTTTTTTTTTATAATAATTTGAGTTTACCGCCAATTAAAAACAGGTTCCTTATTTATATCGGTAAACTTTCATCTTTTTTTTACCTCAAACTCAAAGCATTCTCCCTCTTGTGTCAAGTTTTAGTATTAGAATTCCCGCCTCAAAACTACCTACTTGCAAGTAAAACCCATTGAAGAGTTATTTATAGTACAGTGCATAGGTAACTGAAATAAGTGTGTTTAGTCTAATTAAGTATTCGAAAGCTGTTTCATGTCTTTTAAGGTAAGTTTAAGCTTTAAAATACTTTTTTTTATATACAAAAAACAGATATTAGAGTTTTTAAGGTTGCCAATTACTGGAATAAATTCTAACCCATGGTGCTAGTAGTCGGCCATAGTGGCCGACTACTAGAACATGGACCTTTTTATGTTTCTATTTTGGTTTTATAGAAGTTGGATATATATCTTACTTACATGGCACCATTTAGAGTAATATCAAACGATATATTGTACTGGTAGTTGGCCAGGGTCAAAGTGAATAAAGAATTACAAGCGTTGTAAGTTGGTGGCCGACTACTAGAACAGTATAAGCACTTTGCTAGTTGTCGGCCACAACATTTTTTCTTTATTTTTTTGGATCTTTTGGTCTAAAATTTGTCTTTTTGGTTATTCTAGACCATGCCTAAACATCCGAAGAAAAAATCCAAATGTACTCGTAGGAATGCTTGAAAAGAGCTATAGAAAAGATTAAAAATTGCGCCAAAATAAGAGATTGTGACGAAGTCAATAAATTTTATTTTTAATTCATGTTAAAAATGTATATTATAATTAATTTCCGTATTTTTTTTAAAGATGTATGTATACGAGCTCCCGTAGTTTAAAATATTCTCGTTTGTACTGTAAAATCATGTTCGTATTAAAACACCAAATTTTATACAAATTATTAAAAATTATTTGTGAAGCGCCACGTTTATGGACCACCCAGTATATTTAAGAATACTTGTTTAATATAGTCATACAACTTTTGTATAAAAAATTTCTTCGTATTCCAATAATAAAACAGCTATCGATCAATTACGTACTGATGGGACACCCTGTATATGTGTTATTAGCTAACATGTTGGTATCGTTGGATAGATAAATTTACAAGGAATGTTATGCTGAAATAATGTACAGGGTGTTGCATTTGAAAAAAATTTAATAAATTGAACTTAAAATTAGCTATATTTAAGACATTTTTCAAAAAATTCTGTAAAAAATATTCCACTTCTACCACCACTATTCGTTAGCTTACTATCTTATAAGTCTGTATTTAAAAAAAAAAAAAAATCATTGTAAATCTACCCCAGACAGCACACCAAATCCTTTGGATATCTACTGAACATCCCAATATCCACTGAATGTCCAGTCCATGGTGGATATCCATTTTATATCCATGAGGTGTAATTTATAGACATGCAAATGTTATATAACAAATTATTAAAAAATTACGCCATTGTGCTCGCCATTGTGGCTAATAAAACCGTTCAGATATTTAAAATTAATTTTTTTAAGGTGTATTCAATATCTCATGGACATCCACTAAATATATCAAAGTCTAGGCGCGCAAATCATCGTGGATATCTACTAGATGTTATTTGATTTTGCTTACTAAGTATAGATGGCGATACCACTTTCGCATCTACTCATGCTCGACCCGCCGTAATTGAGTTCGATCGAAATTTGTGTCCTAATCACTCCATTAGTGACTGGAGTCGAGAATTTTCATTTATTGCTAAAGAGTCCTAATAAAATAAGGACGACTTTCTCCTTAGTGGGCAAAATCAAAGGCAGAGTGTTAAAAATATTTTGAGTGTTGAAAATATTTTTTATCTCTGCTATTTTTTTTCGACGTTATTCAATAATCATTGGTTACTTATGAACCTCTACTAAAGATACCCATAAAATATTTTCCTGAATATTCGAATATCTTCTATATCCTGATAGACGGACATTTGGTTGGATATCCATATTGGATATATTGAATATCCACAAAATATATTCTGTGAATATCTCTGGGATTTCTTGTATTGTCTGGAAGATACTCATTAGATATTTTGCTGGATATCTATTAGGATATCTTTTATATTCTGGACATAGACGGACATTTGGATATCCATATTAGATCCACGGAATATTTCTGATATCCTGTGGATATATTGGATATCCACAAAAGATATTCTGTGGATATCTCTGGGATTTGGTGTGTTGTCTGGGACATAAATTATGATAATTTAATTTGGGGTCTGCATCATTCTCTAATTTCATAAAAAAAGGAATTGCTTGGCAAACCTGTAACAGCTGCGTTCGCGGTAACAATCCTGAACTGATTCAGAATTATTAATTCATACTTTGAGCGCATCGATTCTGAATTTTTACCGCGTGCGCAATCCCTATTATATCTCGGTGTTTCAGGTTTCAGGTATATAGACAAGCCATTGTATGACAAGCGGTTCAAAACTAATAATTATTTTACCGCGAACGCAGGCTAGAACCAATAGTTCAGTTCTTTTTGTTCCGCGAACGCTTTTTAACTACTGCGCATGCGAAATCGTTACTGTTAGTAATAATTCGGTTTAGGATTCTTACCGTGAACAAAGCTAATATTTAAACAAAAATTCTAGGGTTGAATACAGTATTAACAAACCATTCTAAAACTGAAATAAAATACAATTTTAAAAAATATATTTTTTTATTTGCCAGGCAAAAACGCAACGCCCCGTATATCCAAAAATATATTTTTTTTATTCATATAACTTTTATTAGAAACTTGTTTGCGTGCGTGTCTATAACGCAAATTGAAATATTGAACAATCACGCACTAATGGGATACCCTGTATACTTACCTTATACGTCTCAGAGTCAAAAGGCGAATTCCAATGTTAATGATCCAGATTTTTATTTATTTTTATTGTACCAAATATTTCCTATATATACGAGTACTTATAAATACTTACTATTATTATTTTTTATAAAATTACGAATAAATAATATCAACTCCTGTTACACAACTCATGTACCTATTACTTTATGACTTAGTTTTAAATTCAGTATTTTAATAAAGGAAATTTTAACTCAACATTAAACTATTATTATATTTATACTAATTTTGAGTACGAGCCTGTCCTTTATATGGTATGCAACCCGTAAACCGTTTCAGAGAATTCTCCTCCTTTATAGTTAGTAGTTTAACTTTTAACCTTACTTATTTATTAATTATGCTCATGCACATTTGTATTAATTTTATTAACTTATTTAAATGCTAGTTTTTCAATAAAATACATTTAAATTAAAGTTAAAACACCTACATGGCATTGAGTGACTACCGTTTTCATCGAGTTCATTATTCATTAAGTTTTTTTAATGGTGAAAAATTATTTGGGATACTTTATTCAGTTCAACACTAAAGACTGTTTAGTTTATCAAGATATTTTTAAGATTTTAAAGGATTTGGACCTCCGAAAAATTGTGTAATTCCAGTATGCCGGCCATTCATATGATTTATTGAAAAAAATATATAATGGTTCCTTACCTTACTGGTACCCACCGCAAGTCCCAGGCTACTGCTATACTGTCCAGGTAATTGATACTTATTTTTTCTCAATTTTCATTATTTAATGAAAATTCAAAATTGTCATTTTATTTTTCTAAGCAAAAAGCAAAACCTTTTCAAGATTATTGATTTCTCACCTTCCTTTGTTTTTCGTTGTCTAGCAACATTTTTCCTTTAATATCCCAGATGACTATTTTAATATTTTTTTTTATATCGTTTATAACCTCACTTTTTATTACTTTTCATTCATAATATTAAGTTTCTTTTCGATTTTACATACCTACTATTTACAATTTCTATTTGATTATAAAATGTTCTATACTATTGTTAGATGCATTTATTTATTCCATTTTTATTTTAGGTATGGTATGTTTTCCAGATTTTCCAGTGAATTCAATTATTTACAATTGGAAACTATTGATATGAGTTGCAACTATACTATTTCGATCATCGTATACTCTACCTTTCAACCTAAGATATATTTATTAAATTTATGTTTTTGTTATCAAGAAATTTTCATGGGTAAGTTTTATTATTTACCTACATTATGGGGGTTATGATTGACAACCTGTATTATTTTTAACAGGTCTGTTATTTTATAAACACACAGAAATTACAACCTGTTCACAAATAATGTGTCTGTTAAAAATAACATTACTTGTTCATCATAACCCCCTATCCCTGCTTGGTCATTTACATTCTATAACACTACCATGATTACATTAACAAACATAGTTATTGTCTTGTATCGTGAAATATCAGTACATAACGCCTCCATGTTATTATAAAAATAATATAGGTACATTTTTGTTTTAATAACATCCTAGTGTTTCTAATTTTTTTTGTTATTAAATCATTTTATGTCATAGTATGGGTATAAGATTTCTATGTGATATCATCCTTTTATTAAGTTACTTTCTATTTCCACTAACTTGCAAGTGTTATTTCCAATAACTTTATTTATTCTAATCATAATAATAATATTTTTATTTGCTAAAATTTTGATTTTACAAAAAAACAGTTTTCGTCTGAATTTACAAATATTTTAAAATTGTGTACAGTCCAGTGGAGACGTTACAATTAGAACAGATAGTTCGACTTTCACAAAAAGGTACAGATATTTTATACACAAAAAATATTGAAAATAATATTATTAATGTCCCAGTTGTTTGTGTAACTCAGTCAAGTTGTAGAAACAGTTGTCTGCAAGATACTTTTTTTAACTCATATTTAAACTTTTTATTTGTTTTTATAGTTTTAAATTCTGTAGGTAACAGGTTATATAGTGAGCATGCTGCATATGCTGGAGATTTTTATAAAATGTATGATTGACCTTTTTTAGTGAAAAAGTTTTTTGTTTTTTGTGTCATAGATGTGATCATTTGAATGTTTTTTTGAATTTGCTTTGTTTTCATGTACATAAGTTTTAAAAGATTTATCATTGCCTTAGTAAGAAAAATGTAACTTCATTTTAGTAAAATTTATAGCAGATGCAAATAATTGTTTTTCGACCATTACAGCAGTGATTAAATTACAATATTTTATCACTTGTGTTGTATTATTCTGTACTTTGGGTAATGAAACAAGCATACCTCTAAGCACAAGTCTTTATTATTTTAAAGCTACTATAAGGATACATCCATGTTTTTCTAACAACTAGACTGACTGTCATGACAAGGCACTCAGTCGTGGCAACACAAACTAGTAATACCAACTAGATATGTAGTGGCTAATAGGCAAGAACTGGCCACTTAACCTAATATATTGTACATCTTCCTTTTATAAGTCTAGCTTATCTAGCGTAACCGATTTTTTTCTTAGTTGGCTAGACCTGGTTTTATACATTGTCAGGTTAGCTTCGAGTACCTGAAAAGTAGTAGATTGTGTAAAAGATAATGAGGCGTCATTTGAGATAGGGGTCCTAAATGTTTCATTATCTCTTTGAGGCTGTGTTTTTACAATCATTATATACAGTGTGTCCAATTAATTTGGAACCATATGGGCTACTATTTTATTCTTAGTTTTATGAAAAAAAAAATCATTCTTTATAAAAAGTTCTGCATGGTTCAAAACTTGAATTGCAACCATCAGATATCATTTTTTAAGTCTTATATGAGGTTTGTCAAAAAATATGAATTTTACTGAAGAGTAAAGTACCTTTATTTTTGACGAACCTATACGACTTATAGAATTTGAGATCTGATTGTTGTGTTTTACGTTTTAGACCATGCTCAATTTTTTATGAACAATAACTTTTTCCCTAATATTAATAATAAAAAAGTTTATCATATCACCCCATCAAGAAAAACATCTACCTTACTATCCGGTGTTCTGTATACTGTAATAATATATAGTTTAGTTTTTTGTTAAAAATGTCAACCTTTATTATGGTAGCCTCGAACAGCTTTTCAATACATTTATTAAACATAACTGCTATACTTACGTTCCCATTTTTTGCTAATAAACAGACACCCCCGTGTGTAGCGACATCCCTAGAATAGCTATAAGAAATGCAGATTTATTATTTTCAAATATATCTCCCCAATTTTTAATTAATTCTTGATTTTTCCATGCAACTTATGTCATGTGTTACACTTGTATATAATTTGTTCATGCTTACTTACATACAGCATTTTAAAAAAATTAGGAATATCGGTTACTGAAATATGGTGAATTTTTCATGTATTACCATAGTTAGAATATGACTTCTGGCCATTTTATAGTTTCATTTCATACTAAATAATTTTTATAAGTAATACAGGGTGTGATAGAGCTACATAAACAACTAAGAATTATTACAAAAACACATTTAACGAAAAACTTGACATATTTAAAATATTGTAGAAAGTCTTGCTTGTATTGTACAAAAATAGTTTATATATTTATATAAGGTATATTTCAAAGGTTTACTAGATTTTTATCATGATGGCAAGTGTACGATGCTTAAGATAAGGTGAATAATAATGGATCATTGCAACAATGACTAGGTATATATTATGCTACAGGATAGCTGAGTTCTATATGGATTCACTTTTTCTAAAATTCTAAATGTTTTATATATTCTTCTTTAACCAATTCTCTAGTTTTTACTTTTGTTTCTAAAATTCTAGAGATTTTGCTTAGAATTATCATCCAGTACAAAGGAAACCTACAATATAATATTTTTAAAATGTAATTTTAGTTCGATTAAGAATATTATTATTCAGAAGTTAGTTTTGTAAATCTCTTTTATAGTAGGTATTTATTGTAAAATGTAGACATTAGGTTAAATGCTTACAACAATTTATCCACCATTCTTTTTTTTTATTGTAGTTCCTTCGAACTTGCCTTTGATAGATTTTCAAGAGTCGCGACATCTGTTTCTATGCTTTCTCTTGTCCAAATGTTGATGTAAGATAGAGTACATGGGGGTTTATATCATATGCACAATACGTAAACACGTTTCTGCGCATGCAACTCCGCGGTTGGGTGCTCTGAAGTCCGTTTTACAATAGCAAAATTGTATTAAAATGTAAAGCACATTGAATAATTTGATTAAATTTTGAAAAAGTGGCTCCAGAGGACATATTTTAGCATGTTTTTATTTCACTAAAAATTAAAAAAATAACTACCAAAATTTTTTATGGCTATATTTCGTATTAGAAAATAATTGCAAAAGTAAATTCTCCTTTAAAAAAAAACAGCCAATTTTCAACTTAAATATAATATTACTGGTAACTGCATAAACAGTATTGCTCGTATATAATCAAAGCTCTTTTTAACTAACCAAATCCCGTTCTACGCGTACTTAAATGTTGAAATAATTCTACTAACTCCGACTTGAATAAATGACTGATAAGACATATTCTAATTAAAAAGCACTTTCTTATTTTTATATACAGTACAGATACCAGCTTATCACTTATATTTGTAGATTTTTAGGTTTTAGTTAACATAAAACCTCATAAAAAACCTTATAGAGTTATTTCAGTATTACTTTATTAAAATACTTCATGACTACATACTTTTATCTTGCTTTAGTTTATTTTCTAAGCATATGACGTACTTTTTTTTTCTTTGTTTATCAATCAGAATAATTACAAAAAAATTCTATGAGCGAAAAGGTTGGTGAGTGTTAGATTAACTAACTGCTAATTTATTATGATAGGGTGTGGCTGTTGTAATCTTTGCAATTTTAGACTAGATTCTATTTTACATTCTATATTTTCTTCTTCTTTTTTGGGCTATGTTATTAGGAACAATTTTAAAAGTTTGTTATTAGGAATTTTTGATAGTAGGTAGTTTATTTTTGTTAGGAAATTTTCTATGTAGCATGCCTCCATTTGAGATTTGCGAATAATGTGAAGCACATATTATATACCTTCAAAAAAATACAAGAGAATCGCATTACTAGATATTACTGTAAATATAAAATTGGTTCAAGAATTATAGGCATGTGTGCTCTTATTTCAAGTGTTTTGTTGTAACTGGAATTCGGATGATTCAAAAATTATAAAAAGTACCCTTCAAGGGTTTTATTAAGGACTATTTTAAATGCTGCTAAAAGATGAGTCAGATTTTGATGGTGTGTAAATAGTTAATGTAAGTAATAAGACAGGTTTATAAAAATGCAATTTCTTTTTTATTGATTTATAATTTGTTGGGTCTTTAATTCTATGTAAAGAAACTGTTATATTTTTGTATTAGATAATATTTCACAACCTGTATTATTATTAAATATTATCTAGTATTTAATGTAACAAATAAGTGATCAGAAGTTATGTTCTAATTATGGAAATACATTAAAGTGCATCTTATTTCAGTGATTAATATTCCTATTTTTTTAACACTCTGTATGATGTATTTTATAAAGTGGAAGTAAGCATTAACAAACTATTTACAAATGTAACACATGCCATAAGCTTCATGGAAGAAACATGAATAACTTAAGAGTGACTATATTTTTTCTGCACTCTTTACTTTTGGCTCCTTCTAACAGTTCACCCTGTAGTGCTACAAACTTGAGGTCTATAAGAAAGTTATCCATAATGACCTAAAAAGTAACATACAAATTTGAACAAATTGTGACAGCACCCAAATCAATATAAAAAGTACGGGGTGCTCTGTAGTTTTTATCACTTAGGCAATACAACATACATCATTGGTGCATATCTCATCTATTTATGTAGCGACCAAAGAGGTAGAGAGGGTAGAATGATAAGGTACTGTCCGCGCATCCATGATCGGTGTAAAAATTATACATGATTCAACCTTCCACTCTTATTCACGTAAATGACAAGGAGAGGTTACCCCAAAGCACAGTAAACAAATTCCAGGCTTGGCTTTGTTCAGCTATTATGTTCAGCTTTGTTTGTGTTGGTGTCGGTTCTTTATAATATAATTGTCATTTTTTGTTCTTTGATTTCGATTTATTATTCAAATTATACCTGATAATTATTTTCCGATGCACTATTTTATAATAAATGCAACCATGCTTAGATAGTTTATACTATCAGGTAGTTTATTGCATAGCTTTATCCCTTCAGATATTATAGTATATAGTTATTTTTCCTGCTAGCTGTTTTCATTGCAGTCGCTCTGATGTTCCTACTGTTCCTCACATTGTATAGTTATGATATGAGTCTCATTCACTGAAGCGAATTGAAAGTTGGAGTGTGTTGTATTGGTTTTGCAGTTGTGGACGTAAAGACGATTGAAAAATCTGAAGATTTTTATATTACATAAATTTATTTCAACTATGAACTACTTACAAGTTTGATATATTCCGTTTTTTTTTTAAGTTTTATTTTAAATTTCTTAATATCGCCTAAAAAATGTGTGTACCTCGGCCATATGATCTTTTTTGGCCTTACCAGAAGTTGCTTGGCCTCGGCTACTCCTCGGCCGCAAAATTCTGACTCGGCCAAAAAAGATCAATCTTACAAACTTGATACACAAATAACTATTTTCCCTTGTTGCATAAATAACTACTTAAATTTACATTTTAAATTACAGTTAAATCATGAATCGGTCACAAAAGATTTTAAATTTAGTAACAACCTCTGATAAGTATTTACTAGACCTTCCAAAATATGAGTCAACTAAAGGAAGAACAAAACAGGAAAAGTTAAAATCGTAAAACATTATAAATAATCAAGAGAACAAAGAAGCAAACGTAAATAGAGAAATACCTATTGTTCAAGGTATTACAGAACAAAAAGATGAGAAATTCAACAAACAGGCAAAAATCGAAAAATTGGAGAAGAATTCGCTGTAAAAAGAAAGACAAAGTGTTGATTCATATATAGAGTCGGAAAATAGTGACTCAGGAGAACCTTTTTGTTCTTCAGGTAGTCAATATATTCCTGATTCAAATGACAACGAATCTGATGAAGAAACTGAAGAAGCCCATATTGAAAATAGTCCACCAAATTGTCCTTTGTCAACAAATGAGACAGAGTCTGTTAAAAAAGGTATTTTTTTTCTTTTTCGTTTAAAGTTAAATGTTAGTCATTTATATTTTTTAGCAAATAATTTGCAACCAAAAAATAATGTAGATAGAGTTGTGGTATCTTTTGGCAGCTTTGTGCGTACATCATCTGACAAAATAGAACAATATACGAATTGTAGACCATGGACTAAAAAATCTGCATGTCCTAATTGTTTTCAAGAGATCACGCACTTCCCCCAGCACTTAAGACGAAATCACGGCGAAGAAGGTGCAGTTAAGGAGATATTAGCTATGTCCTGTTAGAAGATCTAAAGCTATTTACAACGCTACTGAAACAGAAAATCTTGAAAATTTTGAGGAAAAATATGTTGTATGCTATGTACATCTAGGCCAAGTTCTGATTTGTCAAATCGGGAAAAACACTTGTCAAATGCTCAATTATTTTCTGTGTGCTCTGGTATAAATGACGATTTTTATTCAACTTCACGTTTAAAAAATAGAAGTGTTTCCCATTATGCGGAATGATGCAATTTCAAAACTCGTAATGAACGACGTACTTGTTTGCTGTTATGCAGATAATTTGTTGCGAAAACATAAACGCACACAAATTAGAAACGTAATTTCAAATAAGATGCGAGAATTGGGACGCCTATTACTTTTTTTGAAAAATATGACTGGACTTCAAAAACTCTTTGATTTTTAAAAGCCTCAGTTTTCTGATAATTTTGTAGCAGCTACAAAAGTAATTAGTGGGTATGATCCTGAAACTCGTTCTTTCAAAGCTAGTAGTGGATATAGCTATGAAAATGGTAATAAAAAAATCCCATATTTCCTTTTCTAAAACAGGAAAAAACATTAAAAGAAATTAAACAAAAAAATGAATTGAAAGCAGTTTGAATTGTGAAATTTCCAGTTTGGCTTAAAAAATTTGAACAGGAAACATTATGAAAAGTCGAAATTATTACCCCTTACCAAAAATGTTATGCAATTTCAAAAGTTTTTATATTCAGCAGCCAAGGATGCATGCAAAGTATTACAAGAAAACTGCGAGATTAAATTATTTTACAGGAGATTATGCAAATGTATTTTAGCATTAACATTGTTGTTAAATAGAAAACGATGAGGAGAAATTCAGTATTTAAAAATAAAAACCTATAATAGCACAGTTTCTCAAAATAACAAGAAGAATTTTTTACTTCGCTTTCAATCAAAAACATTCAAGGGAGTTATAACAGAAGGAAAAGGTAGTACACCCATCGCAATTTTGTTTCCCATATCCATTCAAAATTTTACAGAAATATTATTTAGTGTCAGAAGCCTAGGCGTACCAGAAACAAATGAATATTTATTTGCGATTCATAATACTACAAATAGATGGTTAAGTGGATATCACACTCAAAATTAGCTGAAGAATCTGGTGTTACAGATAAAAGCCTCTTTATTTAACACCATTAAGAAAGCAGATTGTCACTATTTTACAGGTTTTAAATTTGACCGAAGATGAAATAGAGCAATTTGCAAGTTTTATGGGTCACACACGAAAAACACATGAAGCATTTTACAGGTATTTGTTTTATTATGAATCTGTATTTGATATAAAATGTTTTGATTATAAAAATATTGTTTAAATTATTAAAAAAAAAAAAATCAAATATTTTAAGAGGTTATTATACAAATATGTAGTTGCCTATTTAAATTTTGTTTAAAAAATGTATATTAATTTTATTTTAAAACACTGGTGCAATAAACTTTGCCGCATTTTAAATTATTAGGACATTAAGAAGAAAAAAAAAGCCCTAATAATATAAATACAAAAATAGAATATTTACGTAAACCCTAGTTCATTGCAATCTTCTAAAAATATTTAAAAATAAAGGATAAAAAGATTTGTATTTAAAAAACGAAGCGTTAGCAAAAGTATGGCTGTAATATACTATTTTATACTATAAGTCCTTTAAATATTTGAACATCAGAAAAACCCTGTATATTCTAAAAAAGTTTCATTTTGAAAGACTATTATTTATTTTTTGTATTTTATTTTTACAGACTTCCACAAGACATATACCAAACCGCAAAGGTTTCTAAATTGCTACTAGCAATTAATAAAGGGAAAGTCTCTTTATATAAGGGAAAAAACTTGAATGAAATTGGTCTGTCAGACATAGATGACTCAGACGAGGAAAAAGAAACCCTGAACGATAATGAAAATATTACGGAAATACTAGAATCACAAGTGGTTCAAAATGTTATTTGTAATAAAAGTAAGGTACTATTATATTTAAAAAGTCTTTGTTAATAATTGTGTTTACTTCCGGGAAATGGTCACAGAATGATCTTAAAGAAGAAGAATTGAAAAAAAAATTACAAGAATTAAATGGACAGAAGAACAGAAAAAAATGAAACATAATTTTAAGGAAAACATAAAAATTAAAAAACCGCCAATTGTTATAAATAATGTTTGTAATCATTTATGTTAGGACACAGTTTAACTGGGTGGCACACAATTGATCGAAAATAGTAGTTTGTGCAACAAGAGTGAATATGGACAATCCATTCGAGTTGTACAGCATATTTTTTTACAAATTTTAAAAAATATTTCAGGTTATTAAGATAAAATAACTAATTTAAAAATTATTTATATTTTAATGTTGATTTTCGATACACTGTCCTTTCGATCTAAGAAATTTTAGATCTATTGCTTTTTCGATTAAATATATCCTCGATCAAACGTATTTTCTACCAAATGTCATTCGAGAAAATGTATTTTCGATTCAATTCGATCAAATGTTCAATTTTATGCTACTATGTGTTTGACTATAAACTCCTAGAATACAAAAAAATTTATTGGTATGAAAGTTTTTCAAAAAAAAAAAAAAAATAGTTTTGCCCATACAAAGAGTAGGCTGTGATCCACTTTTATAATTTTTGGTATGTTCTGTAACTATAAGGCACGTTCTGACATGGTTTTGTTCTTCATCAGTAAGTTATGATTACAATAAACATAAATATTGCTGCACAAAATTAGTGATAACTTTTTAGAGCCTATACTAAAAACATTTTTTCTTTAAAAATATTGTTTGTATCTTTGTAATTTTTGATAACTGATAAGTTTATAAAAAAATATGATCTGATGCCGGCATGTGTTTTTATAGGAATAGTCTAGTTGGCAGAGCAGATTTCATATTTTTTTTTGAAGACCTTAAGAGTTATCAAAAATTACAAACATACGAAAATATTTCCAAAAAAAAAATTAAAAGTTATCACCACTGTGTATTGCGATATTTCTGTTTAATATAGTTAACTGTTACTATGCCTTACTCTTAATTATAAAAATCAATCACAGCCCACTCTTTTGATGCCCAAAATTATTTTTGCTCGCGCCTTTTACTTACCTACATAACCACTTTTTTTAATCATTTTTTTCAAATACATGTTTTTCAATAAAAAGTTTATTTTTTACCAGCAAATTTGATTTTATTTTTTTTTTAATTTTTCTTCCAACACTATAGGTATTATCCTTTTAAGGTAATTCAAGTAATATTTTCTATTCAGTAACTTATAAATTCTTATTTAAAACTAGGTATGTTTGTTTTTTTAAAGCAGACAATACCTTTATATTTAGGCAAATTTAAAAAGGACCCTAGGATTAAGTATTTAATAAAAATAATAATTTTTTTTTATATACAGGGTGTTAAAAAAAAGTGTCACAAAATGAAATGGTGAATAGTATGACCCAAAATAAGCAGAAAAGTCTTAATAAATATATGACCGCAAATTAACGGTTTCGGAGATACGGACCATTTTGTGTTTATAACAATTTTTTATTATTATAAAAAAAAATGATATTTATAAACAATCAATAACAACATAGAGTTAAATGAGATATTCAAAGTGCCTTCCTTCCATTTCAATGCATTGCCATTTGCACGACCGTACATAAAATGCATGTCAGCTAATTCAATATTAGTGTAAACAGGCATAACGAAAATTTATAAAATTATTCACCCACAACAAAATAATAACTGCAAATATTAGCTATGAAAAAACATCGGTAGACTCCGATAAGAAAAGCAAGTTTTTGAGAATGAAAAAAGATAATCAAAAAATGATATAAAACACAAAACACTCTGTATCTCTGAAACCATTCATTTGCGGACATATGTTTATTAAGACTTTTCTGCATATTTTGGCCCATACTACCCCCCCGTTTTATTTTTTGACACTTTTTTTTAACACCCTGTATATATATATATATTTTTTGGTAAAAAGTTTATTTTAATATAAAAATCAAAAATATCATTAAAAAGACTACTACAAAAATTATAAAAACCAATTTAATAATTCGAAAGACGCTAAAATGGTGGTTCCCACTTTATCAAGACTGAGGGTAAACTCGTAGCTTAACAAAAACTAGAAATGATTTAACTTGGAACGAAAGACCGAAAGCCGATAGTAGTATCAGCGTTGAATTTTTTGGTTTGTGAAGCATTGGCATTACTTAGGTTAAACCCTGTGATGATTTTCACAAGCCTTGATTTTTAAAACAATTCTATATCGCCTTTTGATTAGGGTTTAAAACCTTGTTCGAGCAATTTAACCAATAATAATTGGCCCCTTTACCTCTTAAGCCTGCTCATGTAAAATATCTGGGCTCCTTACTTCGCCTATTTATATTCTATTAATAAAGGACAGAAGAATGAGAATTGCAAGTATGTTAAAAGAAGTAAATTGGCTTTCAGTTCAGAATTATGTTCAGTACACGACTGATACTTATTTTTAAAATAAAAATGACAGTACCATCGCATTAGATCTATCAGAAAAAATTCAATATAATTTGCAATATCACAACTATAATACAAGAAGCCAATCTGACTTTCATGTACGGCAAGCCATCACTAAAAGTTCCCAAAATATAATTGTTATTAAAGGTTTAAAAAATTTAATAGACTGCCTACAGAAATTAAAAAAAAAGCGTAAATATTGATGCCGGACAAACATTTTTCGCTGTGTAACCTATTTTTTAGAGGGAAATTAAATTTCATTTGATAAGCACATGTTTCATAAAAAATGTTCGGCATGACTAAAAATGTAATTATTTTATAAAATGGAATTAGAACCAGTTAATTTGATATTGGTTTAAATCACCCTCAATATGCTTTTATAGAGAGTTGCGCCCTGCATTCCTAACCGCTGTATCAGCAAATACGTACGGCGTTGCTAAAAAGTTATCTATTTAACGATCTAAATCTAGTGTATAAATGTAGCGCTATAATAAATCTCCAAAAATCGGGCAAACATTTTTGGAATTGCAAAAATTTCCTGGCTCCTGATATCGCCGTTTTTAACCGACTTCAAAAAATTCTTTAACACGGTGTCCGATTTCGATGATTTTTTTTTTTTGTTATTAAGGGGGTACTTCAGGGGTGATCCCATATAAATTTGGTTAAGATGTGAAGACAGTATCTGCACGATTTTGAAGTCGGTTTTTTAAAATTACTTTTAATACTTGTTGTACGGCATTAGGTCGTAGGCTTAGATAAAAGAAACCAGAGATATAACATACACCGGTGTTTAACCTGCGCAAATATTGCCAATTTCTAAAGAAAGGTTAACGGAGTGGGGGAACTTGGCAGGAACCCGAACTCTGACAGGGACCGGACTTTGTTTATTAGCATCCTAATGAACTATTAGATTTATTTAAAATATATGTTTAATGGAATTTTGTATTATGAAATAAAATAATCGTGAATTTTTAATATCAAACAGACGCCACGAGATTTTATGTAAAGAGAAGACCTTTTATAGAATATTTCGTTAGCCATTATTTACTACAGACTTTTCAGCAAGAGACTACAGTTAAATGTTGAAATACAATATTGTTAATAGAGCAAGAAATGGTACTCATTGTCTACGAGTATTATAAAAAAAGCATGTGTGCAGGCGAATACTGCAAATCAAACCTTGTGAGTTGAACATTATATTTTTTCTACGGCTATTACATAATATTAAAAATTAGTCAAAATGAGAAAATGCTGTTTTGTATTGTAGCCTCAGCTTCTTTTTTTAGGAATATTAAATAATATAGAGGATGAGTCACATAAAACTCTAGAAATGCATATGTCTGAAACCAGATAACATTTAAAAATTTAAACCTATTAAAAGTCATTTGGTCGCTAAGGGTGGGTGATTATTGAAATAAATTATCGATCATTGAAAATAATCGATTATTTTCGATCGATCGAATATTCAAACAATCTATTTTTCGTCGTATTTCCTTTAAAATCGACTACTTGATTATCTTTGAAAAATCAAAAAATCAAAAATAATCGATTAATTAAAAAGCCAATTAACCAATAAATCAGTGTTTACAAAAAATAATAAAAGAATTATCGTTTATTTTAAATAATCGATTATTTTCAAATAATCCATTTTGTTTTCCGTCCATTGAAACAGATTATTCAATAATCTTTGAAAAATCGAAAATATTCGATTAATAAAAAAGTCGATTAACCGATAAATCGATTTTAAAAAAAAAAACGAATTATCGATTATTTTCGATCAATCGATTATTATCAGTAATTTATTTTTATTGTATTTCCTTTAAAATCGATAATTCGATTATCTTTGAAATACCGAAAATAATCGATTATGCCAAAATAATTGTTTAATCGAAAATAACCAATTAATTTAGAAGCAGATTCTACGATAAATCTATTTTCCAAAAAGTAACCGAATTATCGATTATTTTCTAATAATCCTTTTCATATTTCCTTTAAAATTGATTATTCTATTATCTTTAAAAATCGAAAATAATCGATAAATCTAAAATAATCTATTATTAAAGAGCTGATTAACCCATAAATCGATAATTCTAAAAAATAACCGAAATATTGGTTATATAAAATAACTGATCATATTCGATCAATCGATTATTTTCATATAATACCTTTGAAAAATCGAAAATAATCGATTAATTGAAAGGAATCGATTTAAAAAACCGATTATACGATAAATCGATTTTTCCAAAAAAATCGATTATTTTCAATCAATCGAGTATTTTGAATAAATCTACTTTCTTTTTGTATTTCCTTTAAAATCGATTATTACATTATCTTAAAAAACAAAAATAATTTATTAAAAATAACGAATAAATCGATTTTCATAAAAAATATCAGAATAATCGATAAATCGATTATTTTTGTAAACCCTATCGTTCGCTTGCTTTTATCCGAGCATTTAGCTCCAAAATTTAGAGTTTCGGATTTTTTGATCCCGTTATCTTTAAAACCGCATTCGATTGTATAATAAATATTGCTAGGATTTGGATTTTTTTAGTAACCGAAAATGTTGTTCGAGTTGTTTAGGGGTTTATAATGTAACATTTTATTAACAATGTGACT